GGGCCCCTGGCCCCCGGGTTACAACAACAACGGCTCCCGCCTGAGACTTCCTTGCAATTTAGCCAGGACCCGAGACTTCCTCGCATTTTATTCAGGAGTCGCGCTCTCGCTTGGGACTTCCTCGCAATTTATTCAGGAATCGCTCTCCCAGCGCTCTGGAGTCGCGCTCTCGCTGGAGATTTGCTTGTAACTTACTGAAGAATGGCCTTGCGTTGGAATTTCCTGCAATTTGCCCAAGCGCCGCGCTCCCGACACCCAGGCACCCAGGAATCGCGCCCTTTGTGGCCCCATGTGCATGCCCTTCGTGGCTCCGCTGTCGCCATTTGTGTCCCCCATCACTGTCCTACGTGGCCTAGTTGCTACCCTCAGTGGCCCCACAGTTGCCTTCTGTGGTCCCGCATTATCTGCACTTCGCGGCCCCCGCTCGTTCGCGCTCTTCGTGGCCCCATACGCATTCCCTTCGTGTCCCCGCTGTCGCCCTTTGTGGCCTACTTCGTGCCCTTCGTGGCCCTGCTGTCGTTCTCTCTCGCTCTCGCTTTCGCTCGTCGTCGCCGTCGTCGTCGTCGTCGCCGTCGTCTTCGACGTCGTCGTCGTCGTCGTCGTCGTCGTCGTCGTGGTCGGTCCCCTGTCCGTCCCTCTTGGGGTCGGGTCGACGGTCCGCGGCCGCCCCGCCGATCAGCGCTGCCGCTGGCCAGGCCGACGGTCCGCGGCCGCCCCGCCGCTTGCCAGGGCCTCGCCTGCAGGGAAGAAATGTATACCCCCCAAAAGGGGTTCGATCGAAGACGAAGAGGGCGGGTATCGAGGGTTTGGGACATACGCATTATTGGACACTCGAGCATATAAGGGCGAACAGTCTTAACATTATTGTTGAATTCGCACTTTAAATAATTATTGCTGATCCCTCCCCACTGGTGCATACTGTTTTTTCTCAATCAAAGTGTGCCCCTCGACGCTCGCACCCTGTTTTTTGTCAGGGAAAGTCTTCCTACTCAAACTGGGCCCTTGGCCCCTTGGGTTACAACAACAACGGCTCCCGCCTGAGACTTCCTTACAATCTGGCCAGGACCCCCGCTCCCGCCCGAGATTTCCTCGCATTTTATTCAGGAGTCGCGCTCTCGCTTGGGATTTCCTTACAGTTTATTCAGGAATCGCTCTCCCGGCGCTGGAGTCGCGCTCTCGCTGGAGACTTGCTTGCAGCTTACTGAACAATTGTCTTGCGTTGGAATTTCTTGCAATTTGCCCAAGCGCCGCGCTCCCGACACCCAGGCACCCAGGAGTCGCGCCCTTTGTGGCCCCATGTGCATGCCCTTCGTGGCCCCGCTGTCGCCATTTGTGTCCCGCATCACTGTCCTACGTGGCCTAGTTGCTACCCTCAGTGGCCCCATAGTTGCCTTCTGTGGCCCCGCATTATCTGCACTTCGTGGCCCCCGCTCGTTCGCGCTCTTCGTGGCCCCATACGCATTCTCTTCGTGTCCCCGCTGTCGCCCTTCGTGGCCTACGTCGTGCCCTTCGTGGCCCTGCTGTCGTTCTCTCTCGCTCTCGCTTTCGCTCGTCGCCGTCGTCGTCGTCGTCGCCGTCGTCTTCGACGTCGTCGTCGTCGTCGTCGTCGTCGTCGTCGTCGTCGTCGTCGTCGTCGTGGTCGGTCCCCTGTCCGTCCCTCTTGGGGTCGGGTCGACGGTCCGCGGCCGCCCCGCCGATCAGCGCTGCCGCTGGCCAGGCCGACGGTCCGCGGCCGCCCCGCCGCTTGCCGGGGCCCGGCCTGCAGGGAAGAAAGGTATACCCTCCAAAAGGGGTTCGATCGAAAACGAAGAGGGCGGGTATCGAGGGCTTGGGAAATACGCATTATTGGACACTCGAGCATATAAGGGCGAACGGTCTTAACATTATTGTTGTTGTTGTTGTTGTTGTTGTTGTTGTTGTTGTTGTTGTTGTTGTTGTTGTTGTTGTTGTTGTTGTTGAGCTCTCATTCTTGAAGAATAATTATTGTTGATCCCCCCCACCGGTGCACATTTTTTTTTTTTCGATTGAAGTGCCACCCCCGGGGCTCGCACCTTGTTTTTTTCTGGAGGAAAGTCTTCCTGCTCAAACTGTGCCCCTGCCCCCCGGGCTACAACAACAACGGCTCCCGCTTAAGACTTCCTCGATTTTTACTCAGGACCCCCGCTCCCGCCTGAGATTTCCGCCCAATTTACTCAGGAAAGGCGCTCCCGTCTGAGACTTCCTCGCAATGTAATCAAGACCCCCGCTCCCGCTTGAGACTTCCGTGCAATTTACGTGGGAACGGCGCTCCCGCCTGAGACTTCTTCGAATTTTACTCAGGACCACCGCTCCTGCTTTACATTTCCGCGCAATTGACTCAGGAACGGCGCTCCCGCCTGAGACTTCCTCGCAATTAAGTGACGACCCCCGCTCCCGCCTGAGACTTCCGTGCAATTTGCTCAGGAACGGCGCTCCCGCTTGAGACTTCCTCGCAACTTAGTCAGGGCCCCCGCTTCCGCCTGAGATTTCTTCACAATGTACTCAGGACTGCGCTCTCGCGTGCGACGTCCTCACAAATTATTCTGGAATTGCGTTTCGGCGCTCAGGAACCACGCGCGCGCCAAGGACGCCTTCACAACGTGGTATCTTCCCTCTTCCTTCGTCCTTCCCCCTCCCCTTCCTCCCACTCTCCCTCGTTCTTCCCCTCCTCCTCTTCTTCCCCTCCTCCTCCTTGCAGGGCCCGCGCCAATTCCAATGGCGGGCAGAGAGATGTACGCCCCCGAAGGATTGTCCGCCCGTTCCGGTTTGCCCGTGCGTCTAAGCCCGCCGGCCCCAGCAAAGAGAAATAATCCCCCCGAAAGGGGTGTGATCGAAGACGAAGAGGGCGGGCATCGAGGGTGTAGGGTATACGTGTTGAATGACTCGCGGGCAAGACAGAGCGTACAGCCTTAAAATGGTTGTTGTTGTTGTTGTTGTTGTTGTTGTTGTTGTTGTTGTTGTTGAATTTTCATTTCCGAAGAATAATTATTGTTGATCCCCCCACCGGTGCATATAGTTTTTTCTCAATCAAAGTGTGCCTCTCGACGCTCGCACCCTGTTTTTTGACAGGGAAAGTCTTCCTGCTCAAACTGGTCCCTTGGCCCCCGGGTTACAACAACAATGGCTCCCGCTTGAGACTTCCTTGCAATTTAGCCAGGACCCCCGCTCCCGCCCGAGACTTCCTCGCATTTTATTCAGGAATCGCGCTCTCGCTTGGGACTTCGTTATATTTTATTCAGGAATCGCTTTCCCGGCGCTCTGGAGTCGCGCTCTCGCTGGAGGTTTCCTTGCAACTTATTGATTTCGAAGAACGGCCTTGCGTTGGGATTTCCTACAATTTGCCCAAGCGCCGCGCTCCCGACACCCAGGCACCCAGGAGTCGCGCCCGTTGTGGCCCCATGTGCATGCCCTTCGTGGCCCCGCTGTCGCCATCTGTGTCCCCCTCATTGTCCTACGTGGCCCAGTGGCTACCCTCAGTGGCCCCATAGTTGCCTTCTGTGGCCCCGCATTATCTGCACTTCGTGGACCCCGCTCGTTCGCGCTCTTCGTGGCCCCATACGCATTCCCTTTGTGTCCCCGCTGTCGCCCTTCGTGGCCTACTTCGTGCCCTTCGTGGCCCTGCTGTCGTTCTCTCTCGCTCTCGCTTTCGCGTCGTCGTCGCCGTCGTCGTCGCCGTCGTCTTCGAGTCGTCGTCGTCGTCGTCGTCGTCGTCGTCGTGGTCGGTCCCCTGTCCGTCCCTCTTGGGGTCGGGTCGACGGTCCGCGGCCGCCCCGCCGATCAGCGCTGCCGCTGGCCAGGCCGACGGTCCGCGGCCGCCCCGCCGCTTGCGGGGGCCCGGCCTGCAGGGAAGAAAGGTTTACCCCCCAAAAGGGGTTCGATCGAAAACGAGCAGGGCGGGTATCGAGGGTTTTGGGCAATACGCATTATTGGACCCTCGAGCATAGGTTCTTACTCTCTTGGCTTAAAGGGCCGGGCAGTGGGAACCGGCCCGGGCGGTTTCCCCAGTATCCGCCCCGCGGGCCCCCCAGTTACGTCCCCTTAGCTGAGCGTTGCTTATCTCATCTTAGCTTAGCTTATGTCATCTTAGCTGAGCTTAACTTCTTCTTAGCTCAGGTGTATATTAGCTTAGCTTAGCTTAGCTTAGCTTAGTATAGCTTAGCTTAGCTTAGCTTAGCTTCATCTTAGCATGGGTGTAATTCCCTACCTAGGCTCTGCCTAGAGAGTTAGCTTAGCTAAGCTCAGCTTATCTTAGCATAGCGCAGCGCTGCTTTAACATAGCATATCATAGCATACCATAGGCAAGCATAGCATGGCAACGTATATCTCAGCGCAGCATAGCATCGCATAGCATAGCATGGCATGCCATATCATAGCATAGCATATCATGGCGCAGCATAGCATAGCATAGCATAGCTTAGCATAGCACATCGCAGCATGACATACTATAACTTAGCATAGCATCGCGGAGCACAGCATAGCATAGCGCATCATAACACATCATATCCTATTATGTCATATCATAGCATAGCGCAGCATATCATGGTACAGTATAGCATAGCATAGCAACTAATGCTGCTTTCCTAGGGGCTCCAACTTCTAGGTAGGGTCGCACTGGGGTAATTGTTGTTGTTGTTGTTGTTGTTGTGGTGGTGGTGGTGGTGGTGGTGGTGGTGGTGGTTGTTGTTGTTGTTGTGGTTGTGGTTGTGGTTGTAGTTGTGGTTGTGGTTGTGGTTGTGGTTGTCGTCGCTGTACGACGCGACGTGAGCATGTCTGGCGAGCATCCTTCGCAGAGGCGTGCGGCATGCTGCGCCCCCAAGGGGCCCCGGCGTGGCGCGGCGAAGGCCGGGGGGGGGGGCCCCCGGTGGCACCCGGGGCGGCACCCTCCGCAGAGCTGCCGCAAAAGCGCCCCCCCCTCTGCCCTCCACTCGGCCCTCGGCGGGGCGCGCACAACACGGTGGGCCGGCCCCTCCTGCCTCCCCGAGGCGTGGGGCCTGGTGGACGCGTACAACCAGCACGCCCCCAAGGCACGGCCGCGCGGCCGCCCGGAAGCGGGCCCGACGAGGGGGGGGGGGCGGAGGAGCGCCGAGGTGCCGAGGGGTGGACGGGGTCGGGGGGGTCGGGGGGTCTGGGGGGGTCGGGGGGGGGGTCGGGGGATCATGAGGGATCGAGCATCGAGGCATCGAGGAGCGGATGGGGTGGGAGGGGTGGAGGGACGGAGGCATGAACGGATGGAGGGGTCGAGAGATCGAGGGGTTGATGGGGTGGAGGGGTCGGGGGATCGAGGGATCATCAGGGATCGACGGGGTCGACGATGGAGGATGATCAGGCTTCTGTTTGGGTGTTTTTGGCCCTCGTCGGTCCTCTGGAGGCCTCGAGAAACTTTGCGGGCCCCCAGAGACGTGGGGACATCCAGAGATTTCTGGCGACCGTAGAAGAACGTCTTTTTCGGGGGGGGGGGGGTCGGCGTCTGGAGGCAGTTGCCAGGCCAGGGGCTGTCAAATAACAGTCCAGGATGAAGCAGCGGTCCCCGATATGTGGTCGGGAGGTCCTGTGGACCCACGCGCTGAAACTAGCTTACCGAAGGGCCCAACCATGTGCAGTTGTGGATGCCGCAGTCGTGAGTACCGTCTTCGGTGGAGCTCCTTGCAGGGGCGCGGAGCGCGCAAAGGGGTGCGCCAGAGTGGGATGGCGGCGGCACGCGGATCCTGCCGCCAGGGCCTTCGGTGGAGCACCCTATGGGGCCACGGAACGTGTGAGGGGTGTGCCGAAATGGGGGCGGAATTGCATGCGGATCCTACCACTAGGGTCTTCGGTGGAGCACCCTGTGGGGCCACGATCCATGTGAGGGGTGAGCCGAAGTGAGGTGGAATTGCATGCGGGCTCTGCCACTGTTGCCCTCGGTGGAGCACCCTGAGGCCTCGAAGCGTTTCAGGGGTGCACCGAAATGGAAGAGGAACTGCATGCGGACCCTGCCACTGTGGCCTTCGATGGAGCACCCTATGCGGTCTCGAAACGTGTGAGGGGTGCGGCGAAATGGAAGTGGAACTGCATGCGGGCTTTGTCACTCGGGCCTTCGGTGGAGCACCCTATGGGGCCACGAACCGTCTGAGGGGTGCGCCGAAATGGATGTGGAACTGCATGCGGACCCTGCCACTGGGGCCTTCGGTGGATCACCCTATGGGGCAACCAAACGGAGGGGGTGCGCCGTAATGGAGGTGGAATTGCATGCGGACCCTGCCAATGGGGCCTTCGATGGAGCACCCTAAGTATGGAGGACATGCGGGGGGCAGAGGCAAGGGATAGGAGGAGGAGGAGGAGGAGGAGGAGGAGGAGGAGGAGGAGGAAGAGGAGGAAGGAGGAGGAGGAGGAGGAGGAGGAGGAGGAGGAGGAGGGGGGAGGAGGAGGAGGAGGAGGAGGAGGAGGAGGAGGAGGAGGAGGAGGAGATGAGAGGAGGACGCGTTGCGCTGTATCTTCAAAACGAGGTCCCAACACCATAGGATGGCTGAGACAAGTCACGACGTCAGAGGTCTGTTTTCAACATGTTTCGGGGTTTTAGGGTGTCTATGGTCTTGAGGCCATCCTGAACTCCTACCATTGTTTGTGGGTCTCCAGCAGTGCCAAAGGACAGGACATGATGAGGATGCTGAGGTGGAGGGAGAGGAGGAGAAGGAGGAGGAGGAGGAAGGCCGATGCTAACGACGTTGTTATTTTGGAGGTTTCTGGATGCTTCTGTAATGTTCCGTCGCCGCGTCTGGACGCAGCCCAGAGAACTGGCCAGCGTGGACCACGTTAGGGGTCCCGGGATCGGTTTGTAGCGGATGTGGGTTCGTCTCGAGAGGAGGAGAAGGAGGAGAAGGAGGAGAAGGGGAAGGAGGAGTAGGAGGAGGATGTGGATGAGGGGGAGGAAGAGGAGGAGGCGGAGGAGGATTACCGATTCTTCATTTTTTCTGACGTGGTTGGCCTTTCGACCTCCAGAGGTTGAGGATCGATGTCTTTGGGAGATTCTAAGCCTTTCTACCATCCTGGCAGTGGCTGGATCCTTATTCGAAATTCTTGTCAGAACGCACCTCAGGATGATTAGGTATGGGGGATGATTTTGAGGAGGAGGCCCAGGAGGCCCAGGAGGAGCAGGAGAAGGAGGACGATAACGATGATGGTAGTGATGACAATTATAAGGATGATAATAAGGAGGAAAAGGAAGAGAAGGAGTAGAAGGAGGACGGAGGAAAGGAGGGCGAGTTGCAGGAGGACGAACATATGTGCGTGTGTGTGTGTGTGTCTATGCGTGCGTGCGTGCGTGCGTGCGTGCGTGCGTGCGTGTGTGCGTGCGTGCGCGCGCGCGTGTGTGTGTGTGTGAGTGTGTGTATGTCTGTGTGCGTGCATGCGTGCGTGCGTGCGTGCGTGAGTGTGTGTGTGTGTGTGTGTGCGTCTGTGTGTCTGTGTGCGTGTGTGTGTGTGTGTGTGTGGTGTGGTGTGTGTGCGTGTGTGTGTGCGTGTGAAGTGAGTGCTGGCTCTGGGTTAGGGTATGTGAGTGCGTGTGTGCGTGGTTTGGGCTCATATTTGACTCCGATGTTTTCTAGCATTCGATTCCGTACATCTCCACGAGGAAGATATTTCGAGGCATTCGCGTCCCGTGGCGTCGCTTCCGTGATTTGGATTCAGCCGCGCGCCAGAGGAAAAAGCGCGTGTGTGTGCGTGTGTGTGTGTGTGTGTGTGTGTGTGTGTGTGTGTGTGTGTGTGTGTGTGTGTGTGTGTGCGTGCCTCCAGCCGCCAGATGCTCGCAGGTGAAGGGCGTGGAGATGTCGCTGGTGGACCTGATCATTCTCAACAGCGACGGCGAGACGCCCGAGTTGGAGAAGGCCTACGACTTCCAGGAGGTGCTGCTGCGGCAGTCGAACCGCGAGTGCGCCGGCGGCGACTGCGAGGAGGACAGCTCGGACAGCAACACCTCCCTGCTGCAGATGCAGCGCAGGCCCGGCGACGGTGTGCGCGGGTTCGTTTTGTGTCGGCGCGGCGGCGACCCGCCGAGCAGCACATAATCGCTGCCCAAGCAGACAAGCTAGGAGGTCCGCGCGGCTTTCTTGGATCTGCGCTGGCCCCCCTGATCAGCGAGGGGGGTCCAGCGCCGATCCGAGAAGTCCCTGCGGACCTCCGAAAGCTTCTGTTTATGAGGTGTTCTTCTTTCTCTGTTCAAGGTTGTAGGGTCGCCAGTGGCCGCGAGTCGTCGGCCGGTATGGAGCGGCCTGCGCTGTCGTACAGCGCCGGGTAGTCAAGGTTGAGCGATCCACGCGGTGTCGGAGTCCAGTGCCCGAAGTCGTCACGGCGCGGACCTGCAGGCAGCAACCTCGCGCAGGGCCCGCCAGTCCCAGGGCGCGAAGATGAGACACATCCGCGCGTCGTGTTCCGATGCTCCTGGGCTGGAGAGCAGGCCTCGCCTAAGGAGGGTGGCGCACGGCGCGAGGGGTGCGGAGGCGACCGCGCCTCGCGCGGCCACGGGGAGGGGCGGCGCCGGCATTCTGCGGGAGGCGGGGCTGCCCAGCTGCTCGGCGGGTTGGCCAGATAGCAGGGAAAAATTCAGACAGACGCACATGCACGCTACTGTCACGCAAAGCCTGGGACTTTTTTGGGGGAATGGAGGGGGACATGGATGAAAATCCCAGAAATATGGGCAGATTGGGGATTCCTGGAGCTTGTGTCGATTTATTTGAGTCTCCCTGGGCATCCTTTAGACGATGTCAGCGAGGGGCGAAGTGCTCGGCCAGCCGCGGCAGCCGGTTCCCGCGAGAATTCGCGCCCGCGCTCTGCTAGCGGGTTTCCTAGCGGGTTTCCTACTGCTGCGCTCGTGGCCTTAAGCGGGCCTGATTTCTTGGATCGGCGCCGGGCCTTGCTTGGCGGCGCCAGGGCGCGCTCCGCGCGCCAGGGAGGGGGGGTCCAGCGCCGATCCTCGAAGAAGAAAACACGGCATAAGCATGAACTTTCGGAGCTCCGCGCGAAGTTTTTGGATCGGTGCCAGGCCCTTCTTTGCGGCGCCCCTGGCGCCGGCCCTGACGCGCTCCGCGCGCCAGGGAGGGGAGTCCATCGCCGATTTGGGAAATCCGCACGGAGCTTCGACACATTAATCATGCTTATGGGTCACCTGATGCGAAAACGCGGGGCCAGTAGTCATGCTGATGTTGGTGATGGTGGTGGTGATGAGGACTGATGGTGGTGATGATGGTGATGATGATGAGGAGGAGGAGGCGGAGGCTGCTGCTGCTGCGGCTGATGACGATGATGATCATCATGATGATGATGGTGAAGGTGATGCTGATGCTGATGATGATGAGGGTGATGATGATGCTGATGATGTTGATGATGATGCTGATGATGATGATGCTGTTGATGTGATGATGATGCTGATGATGATGATTATGGTTATGCTGATGATGATGACGGTGATGGCGATGGCGATGGTGATGGTGATCCTGATGATGATGCTGATGCTGATGCTTATGATGATGCTGATGATGGTGTTGGTGGTGTTGATGCTGATGACGACGACGATGGTGATTAGGATGATGCTGGTGCTGATGCTGATGTTGATGATGGTGACGACGATACTGATGATGATGATGATGATGATGATGATGATGATGATGATGATGATAATGATGATGATGCTGATTATGATGATGATGATGATGATGATGATGATGATGATGATGATGATGATGATGGTGATTGTGATGGTGATGGTGATGATGATGGGGCTGGGGATGCTACTGCTGCTGCTGATGCTGATGATGACGATGATGATGCTGATGAGTCTTGTGATCTTCTTGTTGATGATGATGGTGATAATGATGATGATGATGATGATGATGATGATGATTATGATGATGATGATGATGATGATGATGATGATGATGATGATGATGCTGATGGTGATGATGATGCTGGTGATGATGATGCTGATGATGATGCTGATGTTGATTATGATTGTGATGCTGATGATGCTGATGGTCAAGAATGCTGCGTTTCGAGATGTCCAATCTTTTCCAAATCTATTGGTGTCCGAAGCGGGCTCCAGAAACGAGGATTGCCAGATACTCCAGATCTCCTGCAAAGTATCCTGAGCCAAGCGTGTCATGACATCATTCTCGTCCTATCCTCGGGGGCCAAACGCTGCGGTGACCACACCGTGTGGCAAGTCAGTGGGGATTCGGGGCCACTGCACGGTTTTGGGACTTGGGTCGTTCTCCGAGGATGTCTCGTGCGACTGGGGCCTCGGGGACCCAAGACCGTGCGGTGGCGGACCGTGCGGGGAGGCCTTCTGGGATTCCGAGGTCACCACGCGGCCTGTCGCCGCACCGCCTTGGGAGCTCCCGGCCTCTGGGGACGCCTGCTCCTCAGAGATCTGGAGCTCCGCCAGAGGGGCTCAGACCCAGACGCGCGACGTCCTGATGTTTTCAATGCGGGGTCCCTGGAAGGCCTGACCCTTTCCCCGGGACCGGTTTTTCGTCCCGAGCTGTTTTTTGATGGCCCCGAGGCCCGGCGAGGGCTCCCCGAGGCCGAAAACGGCAAAGAACCTCCCGGGTGGATTTTTTCACCACGCGATCCTGCCTGGGGCGAAGACCGCACGGGCCCAGGCGGGGATGGACCGGCACGCTCCGAGGGGCTGCGGCCCCGCCGCTGTCCTCGGGTCGGCAACACCCCAATATACTTATACTATATGTGTGTCGCCCCCCCAGGGGCGACGCGCGCACCGAGAAATCTTATAGTATATGCGTCGTGGCGGGCGCTTTCTGGCCACACCGCTCGGGAAATGATATTACTACAAGATGGGTATACTATATGTTCGGGTCGGACGCGCGCCTCCAAGGAGGACATATAGTATTAGTATGTCCATGTGCGTCCCATCGGGAGGCGCTTCGCGCGCGCGCACGCAGCGGCACCGGCGCTCGCCTCGCCTCGCCTTTGCCCCGCAGGGCCCTCCGAGGGCGCTCCCAGAGCGCCGCAGGGCCTGCCCAGGGCGCTCCCAGGGCGCTTGGGGGCCCCCAAACATATATATATATATATATATATTCATTTATTCATTCATTTATTTATTTATTTATTTATTTATACATATATATATACACACCACCGCCATCATCATCCCCCTCCCTTCCTCCAGCCTCCTCTTCCTCCTCCTCTTTCCTGGGGGAGGGAGGGGGTGTGAGGGAGGCAGCGGCGGTGCATATATTCGTGGGCCCCGTGCCCGGGGCGCTCCCAGTGGGCGCGCCCAGGGCGCTCCGAGCCCCTCTTTCGGGCCCCGCGCAGGGGATCCACGAAGCTCTCGTCGCGGTCCAGGCGCGGGGTGGCACGCGGCCGCAGGAGCCTGGCCGCCGCGGCGAGGGCCAGGCGGCGCCAGTTCCTCAAGGGCCTGGACGACAAGGTCGGGTGCCACGTGCCTCCTCCCTCGGCTTCTCCTCCCGAACTTGCGTCGGGCATGTCCCTCTGCAGGAGATTTGTTCAAAAAAGAGTTGAGAAATAGTCTGGGGACGATTTTTTGACCATTGTTGACCATTTGGGAGAATGCTGGGGTGTTTTCAATTTTTCGTCGAAAATCCCCCTGTAGGGGGACAGGCCCGACCGAATCCCAGTCTTGGTTCCCTCCTTCGCTGTCTTTTCCTTCTCCTCCATGGCCTGTGCATCGCATGGTGGGGCTCTCTTCCCTCAGTGGGTGAGCTGACAGTTTTCATCATCTCTGCGTTGGTTCGTGGAAGAAAAGGGTCAGGGGCAACGTCGGGGGTGGATGGATTCAGGGGGGAACGCATCATCGCCGATAGGGGCCCGATGGCCACACCCCGCCCCCAGCATTTCGCTGTCGGGCGCCCATCGTTGATCGATCGGCAATGGATCGCCGATTCAAGCTCGATGTCCGCCCCCTGAGCCAGTCTTCCGCAACTGTTGATTCGCACAAGGCCTGGCTGAAGTTCCGCGCGTCGTACGGGCGCTGCTCGGCCCTCGTCCGGCTCGCGCCGAACAGCAGCGACCTCTTCGTGGGGCACACTACGTTCTCGGACTACAGCGAGATGAACCGGAGCCCGGGCAGCAGAACAACCCTGGAGGGGAAGGGAGTGGGCGAGGAGTGAGAGGAGGAGGAGGAGTTGGAGGGAGGTCTTGTCTCGAATACAAAACGCAGAAGCATATAAACTTCAGGAGGCCCGTGCGGTCTGTCTCGGGTCGGCGCTGGGCCCCGCTGGCGAGCGCGCCGGGGGAGGGGTGCCCACCGCCAAGCCAAGGATTACGCGCGGGCCTCTGAAAGTTTACTTACGGCCAGGAGCGTTTGCATAGCGTCTCGTGCCCCCACTTCTGGCCCACCACGCAACGGCGCGACACGCCAATCACGTCTCAGTCACCAAGCATCGACGTTCCGAGCCTTCCTTAGCCGCATATCTCACGAAGTAGAACGACACGCTATCAGCTCGCAGGACATAGCGTGTCCTAGAGGCCGGCAACGCCACGCGGTAACCGAAAGTTCCTGACCGTATGTTCGTGCAGGGCTTTCGTCATTCCAGGATCTTCAAGTACTATGACCTGCCCCTGCGCGGCAGCGCCAGTCGTCGCATGGGCTTCTCGTCCTACCCGGGGGTGATGGGCAGCACGGACGACTACTACGTTATGGACACGGGCCTGGTGGTGACGGAGACGACCGTGTCGATGCTCTCGGACGAGGCCAGGTTGCACGAGGGGGGGGGGGCAGTCTGAGAAGGCACGGTGCTTCTCAGAGGCTCTCCCGCCCTCCTGAGAGGCACTCTTGGCAGCCCCGCTTCCTTTTGTCTCTGCGCGCCGCCAGGCGTCGGAGGACGCCGGCCATATGCCTGCACCGGTCCTGGCCATGCCCATCCTGGGCCCAGGATCATTGTGCACGGCTTCCTGCCCAAGCCAGGAGGGCGTTTACATCAATCTTGGGCCTGGCCACGATGGGTGTACGTGAATACAGTTGGCGCCCTTCTAAACAGGCATTCGACAAGCTCGACGATAACGGGACCACGGTCCCAGACTACATGCGCATCATGATCGCCAACAGGGTCGCGAGGACTGGCGCGGAGTGGGTTGGCAGCATGACGAAGAGTGCCACCGGCACCTACAACAGCCAGTGGATGGTCGTGGACTACAAGCTGTTCGAGCCTGGCCGCAGCCTGAAGAACGGGACGCTCTGGGTGCTCGAGCAGGCGCCGGGCGTGTCCCACAGCCAGGACGCCACCCAGAGGCTGCAGGAGACCGGCTTCTGGGCCTCCGAGAACCGGGGCTTCTTCGACGACATCAGGGCCGTCGACGGCGAGGCGGACGCGGAGGAGATGCACGGCGACCTGTTCAGCGCTCTTCGCAACCCCCGCGGCAACATCTTCAACAAGACGGCCCCAGAGGTCGCCACCCTGGCCGACATGCGCACGGAGATGCGGAGGAACCACTGGCCGCACGAGGTGGACGGGGGCCCGGGCAACACCCCGGACCATGCCATCGCGGCGCGTGGCGACCTGAGCAAGTACGACCCCGCGCCGAACGGCGGCGTCGACTCCAAGGTCACCAACGCCTGCCTCGTCCGCGCCCTGGCCGCCGACGCCATCAACGGGCCCACGCACGAAGGGCTCCCGGCTTTCCACTGGCTGGACAATGTCACCGGCAAGAATCTGTATCCGGACTACCCTCACGATGGGCTGCCCGACTTGTGGAACTTTGGCTGGGTCCGCATGACGCCCAGCGGGGAGCTGCCCGAACTTCCAGCTGATGCTTGCGCGGCTTCGCCGTGAACTTTCTGATGCTCTCCGTCACACCATGGCATGTTTTGGAAGCCGCTCCAGGACTTCCACACAGCCCGAGCGCCGCGAAGACGTCGTGCCGCTGTTGTGAGGGCAAGCCGGTTGCCCGTCACCTGGTAGAGCTCTGTCTGTCGCGTGTCAGGGCCCTCGACCGGTGAAATAGCCAGGGCCTCGAGAAGCGACTGCTCCGTGGAGCTCTGCAGGGTGCAATCACATGAGCAGGGTGTGCCTGCAGACGCTCGGCCTGGTTGCCCTTGTCATGTGGCCTCTCCGGAGCAGGTGGACCGTCGCTCCGTTCGCCCGCGGCCCCGCGGCTCCCCCCTGGCCGTGTCGGCCGCGGCGAGGGGGGGGGGGCCGCGGGGCCGCGGGCAAACGACCATAGGCCATAGGAGGAGGAGGAGGAGGAGGAGGAGGAGGAGGAGGAGGAGGAGGAGGAGGAGGAGGAGGAGGAGGAGGAGGAGGAGCCACGTCGTGGCCCGATGAAGCCGCCTTTGGTCGCGGCCCCGTCGAGCGCGGAGGCTGCGCTCAGGGGGCGCCGTGGCCCCTCGGGGCCCGGGGGGCGCAGGCGGGCCCTCGACCTCGGCGCCCTGCGGGCCACCGCTCTCTTCGGGTGCCGGTGGCGTGCCGTGGCTCCGGCGGCCCGCGGCTCGCCGGAGCCCACGGGCCCTGGTGGCGCGGCACTCCTTCGATTCGTGCGCCAGTGCTTGGGGCCTCCGGGGCCGTGGCTGGCGGGCTCTCGGTCGAGGGAACGGGACACTGCCCACCAGGACTCAGGATGCTTCCCACCCGGGGAGAGCGCAGGATGGAGAAGGACTCGACCAAAACGGCTGCAGCCGTCTCCAGCGCGCCAACGTGCTGGTTTTGCAAGAAGTCCCCGTTCAAGGGTCCCGGAAGCTGGCTGCCGGACCCCCGCCCCCTGCGTGGCCCCGCGGTCCGGCTGACCACGGCCGTGGCCTGCGCGCGCGGCCGTTCGTGGCCTCTCTCTCCGTGCGGGCCCCCACGAAGACCAGGGCACTGCTGGCCAGGTCTTCTGGCAGTTCCACCCGGGGAGGATGGAGAGTGGCGAAGGTTTCGACCAGTGGCTGCAGGTTTCTCCTGCGCGCCCAATGTTCCCCCCCCCGCGTGGCCCTGCGGTCCAGCTGACCCTGGGCGTGGCCCGCGCGCGCGGCCCCTCGTGGCCTCTCGTGGGGCCGCAGTCGGGCCGTCCGCCAGATGCCCTGCGGCTTCCCCTCGCTGCGGCCGTCGCCGCACTGCGGAGAATCACATCGTGCGCAGGTCGATGCGTGCACGCGCTCTCGTCGGAACAAATGTGAGTGCGTGTTTGTTGGTTCGTTTGTTTGATGTTTGTTGGTATGTTTGTTTGTTTGTTTGTTTGTTTGTTTGTTTGTTTGTTTGTTTGTTTGTTTGTTTGTTTGTTTGTTTGTTTGTTTGTGTGTGTGCTCCCCTCTTCAGCCTGTCCATCCAGTGCGCCCATCTGCTACGCCAGGGTTGGACATTCGCCTAAGCGTTTCCCAGCGTACCGCTTCGCGACAGTGCCGCCACTTCACCGCTGGAGGAAACAAATGTGTGTTCACCGGTCCTGTCTCTTCATGCCTCCTTTCTCGCCCTCCTCTGCGTCCCTCCCCGTCTCCGCCGCCCTGGCTGCTGTTCGCCTCGTTCCTCTTTTCGCCTCGCTTGCCGCAGGCCCTCACACGCTGCGACCGCTACGACGCGAGGCGGATCTTTACCCTGATGGAGGCGCGTGGCCGTCGAGGTGTGTGTATGTGTACATATATATATATATATATATATATATATATATAGGTGTTTGTGTGTGTAAGCTGCCAAAGGATGTCGGATGTAGTGCGAACGCTTTTCTCACCTCCTCCTTTCTCGTCCTCTCTCGTTCTGCTCCTGTCCCCGTCGTCCCCTCCTCGCCCGCCGCCCCCCCCCCCACCCCCCCGGAAGGCCCGGAGGCGGTGCTGGATGGGCGTCGCCCTTTGCCGCCATGCCTCCTTCTCTTCCGCTCGGGTGGTCGCGATAGCGACCTCGTTATCCTCGTCTCTGTTATCCCACAAGCCTGTGACCCCACAGCCGCCGGTTGCCCCATGGATGGTTTTGACCTCTCCTTCTCTCTGTCTCCCCCCGCCGGCCAGGCGGCCTGCAAAGTGCTGCGCCGCCGGGGTCAGGGCGGTGTCCCAACTCTGCCGCGCGCGCTGCCTGGCCGGCGCGATATATCAATTTCTGCCTGTCGTCTCCCCCGCGCCGGCAGGGCGGCTGCGAAACTGCTGCGCCGCCGGGCTGCGCGGCATCCCCACCTTGCCGGGCGTCCCCCGGGAGGCGCGAGATAACTGCTGCCGATTCACCCTGCTGCACATCTTTTTCTGCGGCGGGGAGCACTCCGCCTGACCACCCCCCGCTTGCAGGGCGGGCTATATACCTTCTGTCGCCCCCTCCTTTCCCGTAGGCGGGGGGCAATCCGCCGCCCGTGCCCCTCCCCCCCGTCCTCCTCGTTCTTCTCCTCTCGTCGTCCTCCCCTCTCCTCTCCCCTCCCGCCTCGCACGGCCTCCTCGTGCGCCGCCCCGCGGGCGGGGCCTCCGGCCGCCCTGGGGCCCCTTCTTTCTCCCCCCCTGCCTCTGTGCTGTGCCTCCTCCACCTCCTCCTCCTCCTCCTCCTCCTCCTCCTCCTTCTCCTCCTCCTCCTCCTCCTCCTCCTCCTCCTCCTCCGCCTCCCCCTCCTTCGGCTGCTTCCTTCCCCGCGCCGTGCCTGACCTTGCCCTCCTGGTGTGCGGTGCCTCCCTCCTTCCCCTCGGCTCCCCCCCCTCCGCCTTGTCGCGCCGCGACCCTCGCGTTCGTCCGTCTCTCCCTCGGCTGTCCACCGCCGCGCCTCGCGCCTCCTCTCTCTTTGCTTGGCCCCCCCTCTCCCTGTCTTGCCGGCCCCTGGCCGTCTGTCCCATGCCGCCGCCCCGGTGAGGTGCCCGCCGCCTCGGCTGCCACCTTGCCCGGCCTCTGCAAATCCGCTGCTCCCGTGGGGGGCCGACTGCTCTCTGGACGGGACGCGTCCGAAGACGCGGACGCCCGAAATGTGAGTGAGCGTACGTGTGTGAGTGCGTGCGCTCTCGCTCCCCCCCCTCTCTGTCAATTGAAACTATGCGCGTCCCGCGGAGCTTTTAGCGGAAGAGGCTCGCTCTCGCCCTGCAGATCAAAAAGCGTGTGAGTGCGTGCGTGTGTGAGTGCGTACGTGTGTGCGTGTGTGTGTGTGTGTGTGTTCGTGTGTGTCTAGGCCTCCCATATATGCGGCCCGAGCAGATGGGGTCGGAGGATCGCGCCGCATCGCCGGTGCGTCGCCGATTCGGCTCGATGCGGAGCTCGATTTTCTCCACGCCGACGTCGCCGACGCGTCGCCGGCGTCGGCGATGCATCACCGATGCATCGCCGATGCATCGCCGAGATATCGGCGATGCGGCGCGATGCTCCGACCCCACTTACTCGGACCCCATCTGGGAGGCCTCTAGTGTGTGCGTGTGTCCTTCACCCTCCCGTCGGCCCTCACCCACCCGTCGGCTGGCTGCTCGTAGGCCGTCGTGCTTCGTCCACTGTCGTGGCTGTCCCCCCCGCAGGTTTTTGCGCAGCGTGCGGTTCTCCGGGGCCCTCCCGCCCAGCGGCTGCGTGAGGGCCCAGCGTGCTCTCGCACTGACGTTGCCTGACTGCGCCTCGTCGCTGCGCGCGCAGCCCGCGACGACACAATGCGTGCGTGTGTGGTCCCCATGTGGAACTCGACTGGTGCCTTGTTTGCTCCATGATCAGCTCAGCTTCCTTAATTACGACCATCAGTGTTGCCGTTCTCTCGATCCGAACTTTGCTGGCTTCGCATTGGCGGCTCACTGGGCCGTGGTCATCAATCGTGCGTTGGAGAGCCATATGCGTGAATGAGTGTGTGTGTGTCGCTCAGCCTCTGCCCCGTATTCATAGCCGCGCTGTAAAGGCTGTGCCGCTTGGGTTCAAATGGCGGGCGACAAGTGTTTTTATGTGTCTTTATGTTCTCTCTCTCTCTCTCTCTCTCTCTCTCTCTCTCTCTATATATATATATATATATGTGTTTGTTTGTGTGTGCGCGTGTTCTGCATGGCGTGAATGCTGTTTTTTTTGCCCAGCTTCAGTTCGCTTTGGCCGAGCCCCTACTGTTACTACTGGACTGCCGTGTGTTTTTTCCCCTACCGCAACGTTCCAAAAGTGTGTGTGTGTGTGGGTGTTTGCGCGCGCGTGCGCTCGTCCCCTGGCTTCTGCCCTCTGTGGTAGCGGTTCTGCCGCCACTACCTTTCAGCCAGATGTGCGCGCCCAGGATTGGAGCAGGTCATTTGGTTTCGTAGACGAGACGGACACATTTCCTTCACTCAGGTCAGGAGTTGTTTGAGGCGGGTGGTGGTGGTGGGGGGATGGATGGCGACAGCGATTCGCCTTGCGACGTATGCGATTTACTATGGTGTCCAACTGCCTGCGGCAAGTCCCCTCACCAGCCCAGCGCAGCACTCTGCGGCGACGCTTCGAACACCGAAGGCCGTCACTCGTGACTCTCCTCGCGGCTATTCTTTCATGGGCTCTTATGGAAGGTTGCGTGGTGCATCTCGGGGCTGGGGCGCCTGGTCGGCTCACTTGGGGCCTCGCGTGGCTTTGTGATGCTGCACTGGGCCTCCTTGGGCCCCTTTCAGTTGCCCGCGAAGTCTGTTGGGGCTACCTTGGGGGCTTCTTGGGGCCCTTTGGGCCCTCTTGGACTATCCTGGGCCTCTGTTGGGCCCGTCTGGGGGGCCCCTGGAGGGCCCCAATGGCCTCTTGTGACGCCCTCTTCGATTCCGTGGAGGTCATGGATCCGAGAGGTCCAGGAATACAGCGCAGACCAAAGCCATTCGGATTCCAATGAGTTTCAATGTTTCACGCTTCGCGTATCCCCACCTTTTTCGCCCCTCCTTCTCCCTGTGCGCGAATTTAGGCCGTTGCCCGAGTGCATCATTCCTGGACGCCGCCCGACCTCTTTCGCCGCGGTCGCGATCAAAAGTATCCCCACCAGCCCTGCCGGTGGTCTCCACCCTCTGCACGCTCCAGGTGTCGTTCAATTTAAATTCCCGCAATTTTGGCGATGCCTCGCCTGGAAGTTTTTCCCGGTCGATGGCGCCCTCTTCTGAGCGACAGCGAGGCCCGCCTCCTGTTTGTTTCTCCCCCCGCTTTTTCCTCCTCTTGGCTTTTCTTTCCCTCTCCCGTTGCGCGTAATTTAGGCCGTCGCTAGTTAGTTGCGCCCTTGGACGTTGCCCGACTGCTTTCGGTGCGGTCGCGATCAAAAAAAGTATCCCCACCAGCCCATTCAGAAGCCCTGCCCATGAGAGCTGACGGGGAAGGGACGAAGAGACACATCTAGGGAAACAAAGCGAGCAACCACGGTGAACCGAGAGATCTGGGAGCAAGGGGGTGGCCTTGGAAGGCCTCTTCGGGACATTCCCGGGGGCCGCGTGGGGGCGAGGGGAATAGGAGGAGGAGGAGGAGGAGGAGGAGGAGGAGGAGCAGGAGCAGGAGGAGGAAGAGGAGGAGGAGGAGGAGGAGGAGGAGGAGGAGGATGAGGACGAGGAGTTCGAGGAGGACCAGGAGGACGAGGACGCGGATGAGGACGAGGACAAGGAGGACGAGGACTAGGATGAGGACGACGCGGACGAGGACTCATGGAACCACCTAGAGGTGTCCTTGCGGCTGCTGCTGCTGCTGGTGCTCTCTGGGAGTTTCTTGGGCCCTCTTGGAACCCTCTTGGTAACCCTGGAAGGCTTTGGGATCATCTTGGAGGCCATCGATTACAGGATGGGGGGCCCCCAACTCAGCTCCCCCCTAAAGAGCCCGCACAACGCTTCTAGGGGCTCTCTTGGAGCGCTCTTGGGCGCTCTTGGAGCGGTCTTGGGGCCGTTTGGAGCATCTTGGGAGCCATCTTGAGCCAGCTTGGGCTATCTTAGCCATCTTGGAGGTCATCTTGGGCTCTCCGAGGCCGCTCGGGGGCCTCTTAGGGGCCTCTCGGGTGCCTCTTGGGACCCTCTTGAGACCCTCTTGGCTCCCTCTTGGAGCTCTCTTGGGGCTCTCTTGGGAGCCCTGGAGCACCTCTTGGGGCCATCTTCGAGGCTATCGATCAAAGGAAGGAGGGTCCCGATCGGCTCCCCCCCCTCAGGGGCCACGCTCCTCGTGAGGGGTGTCAAACAATGGCCCTCCCTCGGGCAGAAAAAGGACCCTCCAACCACCCGCGACCCCCCCCCAAAAAGTCCAGGGAAGGGGGTTTGGGGAGGGGTAAACCCTCCCCGAAGGGGAAGAGGTTTTTTGGGATAAGGAACGAACGACATCGTTAGACCACCTACGCCAAGAGGGCTGGTGGGATTCTTCATTCTTCGCGCGTGCACACCGGTCTTTGAAAGTAGGTATTTTTGGATGCCCATCTCCCGATCTACTTCAGGCGCCTTCCGAATTCAAGGGTCGAGCGGGTGTTCCCCTTCCCTCCTCTTCCGGGGGCTGGCGGAAGCCCAATCTAGTTCCAACGTCTTCATACTTCATGTTTGCACCAACTTCTTCCGTCTGGTGTGTATCCCCACCAGCCCAGTCACAAACTCTACCCATTAGAGTTGACGGGAAGAGGGACGAAGAGACACATGCACTACCGAAGCGGGCAACCAGGGTGAACAGAGAGATCTCTAGGAGCAAGGTTGTGGCCTTGGAGGGCCTCTTCGGATCATCCCTGGGGCCCGCGTGGGGGCGAGGTAAGAAGGAGTAGGAGGAGGAGGAGGAGGAGGAGGAGGACGACGACCAAGACCACGACGACGAGGACGAGGAAGAACTGGAAAAGGAAAACCTTGAGGGTAAGGACGAGGACGAGGACGAGGAGGAGGAGGAAGAGAGGGAGTAGGAGGACCACGAGGACGAGCACAGAGCCTTCAAAATTGCCTCTTGGAAGCCTCTTGGGACTTCTTTGGGGGATCTTGGTGTCCTCTTGGGGATCTTGGGGGTCTTGGGGCCCTCTTGGGACCCTCCTGGAGCCCTCTGGGGGGCCCCTTGGGAGCCCTGGAGGGCCTCTTGGGGCCATCTTGGAGGCCATCGATCAATGTGCCTCCCCCCCTGGGGCCATCAATATCGCCTCTTGGGGCTCTCTTTAGGCGCTTTTTGGCCGCTCTTGGGGCCGTCTAGGATGCCTCTTGGGCCTCTCTTGGGCCTCTCTTGGGCCATCTTGGGGCCATCTTGCGCACCAGAACCGAAAAGGCGAGAACACACACACACACACACATCATTGGGTTTTCTTAGGTGTTTGAACGATTTTGGTTTCGGGGGGGGTCCTGACGGGGCTCCGGGAACCGCCTTGTGCTCTTCGTCGCACCATCGTCGGCCGTCTTGAACCATCGTCGGCCATCTTGAGCCATCTTGGAGGCTATATTGGAGCATCGGAGGCCCTCTTGAGGCCATCTTGGATGCTCTAACCTCTCGGCCACTCCCCGCCCAGACCCAGGGATGGGGGGAGGGGGAGGTAGACCTCCCCGTAGGGAAAGGGTATCTGGAAGAGGAAAGACAGGTATCGTTCGACCACTCTAACCCAAAAAAGCCGGCGGGACTATTTTGGCCTCCCTGGAGGGCCTCCTGGCCCTTGCTCTCGTGCCTTGCAGTCTTCTCGGGGCCCTTTGGCGCCCCTCGGGGTCTTCTCGGCATCTGCCCAGTGCCTCTCGAGCCAAGGCTGGACTGCGCCAGCGGCCTCGGTGGCCTTCCTGGGCCGTTTTGGAAGCCTTGGAAAGCCGGGGCGGGCCCCAGAGCAGAGTCGGCCGCCCCGGAGCCTCGAGAAGGGGGGGGTGACAAACGCATTTGGGTCTGTCCAGGACGGGTGCCCCCCAATGAAGACCTGCGGAAGCCCTGCCAGGCAGCACCTCGCATTCTGCCACGTCCCTGTGTGCCGGGGAGGCACGGTGTCGGATCACGCCTGGCCGTATGTTCCGCGGGGGGATGTGTGGTGTCCCGCACACTATGAGTTCACAGGGGCGGCGAAGAATGGTCCGGGGGGGAGCGTGCGGGGCAAAGTGCGGTCCTGATCTCATGGCACGAGCTCGTGCTTAGGATGGACGTGTGCGCACCTCAGAGTTCAGAGGGCAGTGCGCGGATGGGGGACGATAAGTCTGGGCTCGAGCGGCGTTCAAAGATTTCGGATTACGGTTTCAGATTCGCTGGCTGATGGCGGCTGAGCGATTTCTCGCTTCGTTGTTTCAGCTGTGCTTCGCCAGCGGCCGCAGGTGTTTGTGCCACAGCGCTTTGGGTCAAGCCAGTGTCGCCGAGCGGATTTGATCTGTTCGGGGGGGCCCGCACCTCGGTCGCCACCAGGCACCCCGCATCGATGGTGTACGCTGGCGGCCTCGTGGAGGTACCGCGGACAGCGGACGTGTCTGGAAATGCGGTGGGCGCCCGGGTGCCCCCGTCTTGCTTGGCGAAGTGTTGCTTTCCCTCTTGTGCCATATCTGGGTACGAGACGGGTGATCCCCTGGATGGTTGCTGTCAGGGCAAGGCGTGCTGCGCTCTGATCCTTGAGCTGTCCAATTGCGCTGCCGCGCGTATCCGCCCCCGCGCTGATGGTGCGCTGCTCGGGGGGAGGCTGCGGAGGACGATACATGGAAGATCTGGCCGGGAGTTGTTTTAGGGGGCCTCCTCTTGTTGCGCGCATGGCCAAGAATGCAGGGAAACCAACGAAGGCACAATCAGGGGGCCCGACCCGACACACAGGCAGAGATGCATACATACGGACATACATATAAAGACGCACACACGCACTTGTTCCTGCGAGGGCGTTGGTGGGTTGCAATCACCGGGTGCGGTATGCTCTGCTCAAAACCAATCGACTATCTTGTGCGGGAACGTGATCGCAGCTTTCAGCCATACGGCTCACACATTTTTCTCTACCGTGGACCACCGTGATGCGGGCGCTACTCCGACAATGACCAGCAGCGTAGTAGCATGCGAGGCGTGGGGCAAGGACCACACTCGCACATAACATAATGCAACACACATCTTCACACGCGTGCGCGTTTTGTCTTCCTCCGCGATGTTGCAGCAAAGATCAGTCAGACGCACATGCGCCGCGTTGGCGTAAGTTGACAACGCCGTATGGCGACCTCGCGCACACGTCTTCTTGCGTGGTGCAGCACTCTCGCGTCGGAAACTCGTCGGGCGCCACGGCTAGATCTCATTGACGCGTTGCCCAAATGCGCTCCAGAAGGGTCCGTGGAGTCCTGTGTCAGCTGCAGGTGGCCGCGTGGTACTGCAGAAAGACTGGCGAGGGAGACGAGCGAAGAGGAGGCACACCCACGGCCGCACAGGGCGGCTGGCGGATTATGTTGTTTAGGCTGCCTTGTGAGCCTTCTCTGTTGGCGGCCAGACCCGGCCAACATCAAGGGCGACGGCACGCAGCGCACGATGAACAACAAGTGCCTGGCAGGCTGCTGCCTCGGCTACTTTGCCATCGCGTTCTGGGAGAGCGGGGACTTTTGCTGCACGCCGGACGGCAGGTGCACCTGGATCGACGGGGACACGTTCATGGGGTGCATCCTGCACTGGGTCCCCTACCTCCTCGGCTTTGGCCCGCTGGACTCGTGCTACGTTTGTTGCTGCTGGGCTCCCACTGAAGGAGGATGAGGGAGAAGAAGGATGGAGGAAGAGGAAGGTTGACAACTGTAAACCCACGACGCATCAACGATGTTGCAATCAACCCTCTCTCCAAGTTCCCTCTTCATAGGTCCCCACAAGAATTTGTTTTCATTGTGGGAAGTGCCACGTTGAAAAACATGTGTGTGGTGAGACTCTTAGATCGTACGTGACTGTTGCGCCCTGTCAATCGTAAATCGTGCCAGGCCGCCATTCCTGGGACTTGAACACCGTGGATCAACGTGCCTGCTGCGTCCTGACTGTTCTTAATCGTGCCAGACCGACACTTCTGAGACTTCAACCCTTAGACTCCTTGAGAATGTTGGAAGCTTATGAGATGAGCGTGCACGGCGGTGAGGCGAGAGCCACATTTTGAAAAGGAATCGCCCTCCATCCTTCAAGCTGTTGCAATTTCTACCTAACAGCGAAGACTGATAATTAGGTTTCTAGTGGGGTCAAAAGAGAGCATCTTGACGCCCCAGGGGGGTCTGGGCGGGATCCGGACAAAACCGGACAAAACCGGCAGCCCCAGGAATCCTTAGGAATCATTCGGAATTCTTAGGAATCCTTAGGAATCCATTCCCAGAACACCATTCCCAGGCCACATTTTGAATGCACGGAGCCAACTGTAGGCCACTTCGTGTTCTTCGTGTTCCCAGAACACCATTCCCAGGCCACATTTTGAAGGCCCGGAGCCAACTGTAGGCCATTCCCAGGCCACATGTTGAATGCCCGGAGCCAACTGTAGGCCACTTCGTGTTCTTCGTGTTCCCAGAACACCATTCCCAGGCCACATTTTGAATGCCCGGAGCCAACCGTAGGCCACTTCGTGTACTTCGTGTTCCCAGAACACCATTCCCAGGCCACATTTTGAATGCCCGGAGCCAACTGTAGGCCACTTCGTGCACTTCGTGTTCCCAGAACACCATTCTTGTATAATATTTTGATTGCCCGGAGCCAACTGTGAGGCTGAGGCTGAGGCAGGCTGATGCTGAGGCAGGCTGAGACCGAGGCTGAGGCAGGCTGAGGCTGAGAGGCTGAGGCTGATGCAGGCTGAGGCTGAGAGACTGACGCTGAGGCTGAGGCAGGCTGAGGCTGAGGCTGAGGCCGAGGCAGGCAAAGGCTGAGGCTGAGGCAAGCCGAGGCAGGCTGAGGCTGAGGCTGAAGCTGAGGCAGGCTGAGGCTGAGGTTGAGGCTGTGGCTGAGGCTGAGGCAAGCTGCGGCTGAGGCAGGCTGATGCTGAGGCTGATGCACGCTGAGGCTGAGGCAGGCTGAGGCTGAGGCTGAGGCTGGCTGAGGCAGGCTGAGACCGAGGCTGAGGCAGGCTGAGGCTGAGGCTGAGGCTGATGCAGGCTGAGGCTGAGAGGCTGACGCTGAGGCTGAGGCAGGCTGAGGCTGAGGCTGAGGCCGAGGCAGGCTGAGGCTGAGGCTGAGGCAGGCTGAGGCTGAGGCTGGCTGAGGCAGGCTGAGGCTGAGGCTGAGGCTGAGGCTGAGGCAGGCTGAGGCTGAGGCTGAGGCTGAGGCTGAGGCTGAGGCTGAGGCTGAGGCTGAGGCTGAGGCTGCTGAGGCTGAGGCTGAGGCTGAGGCTGAGGCTGAGGCTGAGGCTGAGGCTGAGGCTGAGGCTGAGGCTGAGGCTTGATGGCTGAGGCTGAGGCTGAGGCTGAGGCTGAGGCTGAGGCGGCAGGCAGGCTGAGGCTGAGGCAGGCTGAGGCTGAGGCCGAGGCTGAAGGCAGACTGAGGCTGAGGCTGAGGCAGGCTGAGGCTGAGGCTGAGGCAGGCTGAGGCTGAGGCTGAGGCAGGCTGAGGCTGAGGCAGGCTGAGGCTGAGGCTGAGGCTGGCAGGCTGAGGCTGAGGCTGAGGCAGGCTGAGGCTGAGGCTGAGGCAGGCTGAGGCTGAGGCTGAGGCTGAGCAGGCTGAGGCTGAGGCAGGCTGAGGCTGAGGCCGAGGCTGAAGGCCTGAGGCTGAGGCTGAAGGCAGGCTGAGGCTGAGGCTGATGCAGGCTGAGGCTGAGGCAGGCTGAGGCTGAGGCTGAGGCAGGCTGAGGCTGAGGCTGAAGCCGAGGCAGGCTGAGGCTGAGGCCGAGGCAAGCCGAGGCAGGCTGAGGCTGCGACTGCGAGAGCAGCATAATTCTACATCTGGATTCTCACCTGAATCTTAAGGGGAAGGCTTCCAGATATGATTATACACATCGTTGTTAGGTTGCTTTGTCGGGATAATGGCTTTCATCTGCTACAGTGAATGGGCGCGGCGCTGATGTGAGAGCTACATGTCGAAAAGGAGCCAGAAGGACTTGCATTGCATTGCACCTGCCCAGGGAACTGCTGTACAGTTCCATGTTTAGCGACAGTCCCATTTTGAAAAGGAACCGCCCAGATCTGTATAATGTTTGCACAAGTCTGCACTTCTGGCAATCAAACCCGAGAGGGTCTCTTGCGATATTCGTTCATATTGCGACGGAGCCGCCCTACCTGCGCGCAGCCGTTACACATGTTCAAGTGCCTGCTTGTCAAATTCCAGGACGTCTCAGGCAAGAGCCCCATTTTGAAAAGCATCCACCCTTCATCGAAGAAGATGGTTTGGCGCTTAAGCGACATGTGCGCGGGGCCGAAGGGAGAGCCCGTTTTTCAAAACAAATCGCCTTCCCTCATTGTAGTTGGTGTAAACTTTGAGGACGAATGTTCACGGCGCCGAGGCAACACCGTCATTTTGAACACGTGCCGCTTTTCATTGTAACTGTCGCGAGCGTTTGAGAAGAAGGCGCGCGGCGCTCACGCGAGAGCTCAATGTTGAAACAGAACGGGGCTCCACCCGTGTAGCTGTTGAGCAGTATATATTCTGGTAGTACGATTTCCAGGAAGTCTCATGCGAGAGACATATTCGTGGAAAGACACGGCTCCATCCTCGTGACCGTTCCCAGAGTTTAGGACGAACGTGCGCGGCGCCCAGGCGAGTCTCATTTTGAACGGACCCGGCCTCCATCCGTGCAGCTGTTGGAAGATGGTGCGGCAATTGTGCGCGGCGCAACGACGAGAGCTCATTTTCAAAAAGGGCTGGGTCTTCATCGTGTAATTGTTGCAAGCTTTGAGGCCGACCTCCGTCCGTGTAACGATTGGAAATGACGCACGCGTCGGGATCGTAATTCGCGAGGAGCTCTTAAGCGAAACGCACGGGCCAGCTCACCGACACGCCTGGTGGTGCGATACAGTGATTTGAAATATAAGATAAAGGAATGGGTGAGGAAGAGAGAGGAACAGGAGGGGGAGGACGAACAGGAGCAGATTTGAGGAGAAGGATATGTGCGTAGGATAGTGTGAAGTTGGAGGAGGCGGAGAGAAACATGATGAAACAAGAGTGGTGATGGTGGTGGTGGTGACGACGACGACACCGTCGACAACGACGACGAAGACGGCGACGACGACGACAATGATGATGCTGCTGCTGATGATTCTGATACACATGATGATGAGGATGGGGATGAGGAGGATGAGGATGAGGATGAGGATCCTGAGGGTGAGGATGATGATGATGCTGCTGATGGTGATCTTGCTAATGATGCTGACGACAATCATGATGATGATGACTTTGATAATGATGCCGATGATGGTGGTGATGATGATGATGCTGATGCTGACGCTGATGATGATGATGCTGATGCTGATGGTGATGATGATGCTGCTGAGGATGATGATGCTGATGTTGATGATACTGATGATGCTGATGCTGATGCTGATGCTGATGCTGATGCTGATGATGATGGTGATGATGGTGATGGTGATGGTGATGATGATGATGATGATGATGATGATGATGATGATGATGATTATGCACAGGAAGCGGCGGAGGAGGAGGAGGCTGATGGTGATGATGATGATGCTGATGATGATGATGATGATGATGATGATAATGATGATGATGATGATGAGCAGGAGGATGAGGAGGAGGAGGAGGAGGAGGAGGAGGAGGGGGAGGAGGAGGAGGGGGAAGAGGATATGATGATGATGATGATGATGATGATGATGATGATGATGATGATGATGATGATGATGAGGAGGAGGAGGAGGATGAGGAGGAGGTGAAGGGGAGGAAGAGGAGGTTGAGGAGGAAGAAGAGGAGGAGGCAACGGCGGAAAGAGGTAGAAGAGGAGGAGGAGGAGGAGGAGCAGGAGTAGGATGAGGATGAGGATGAGGATGAGGAGCAGGAGGAGGAGGAGGAGGAGGAGGAGGAGGAGGAGGAGGAGGAGGTTGAAGGAGGTAGGAGGAGGAGGAATTGGACGTCCTTCTCCGCCGCCTCCTTCGCCCTCCTCGTTTCTCATATTTAGCTCCTCCCCCCCTACGCCCTTGTCAGGCGTTATTATCGGCTCCTCCTCCTCCGTTTCCGCCTCGTCGTTCGTTTCATCCTTCATCCTCCCTCTTTCCTTTTCCTTGCCCCGATGATTACCTCTAGAGTCTCGGTCGTGGCTGTTGGCCACATGTTACGAGCAAAGCCAAACCTGCCAACAGTGGCCCCAGCAGGAAGCAGCACAGTACAGAGCTGCTTCATGTGTAACCGATCAAGTCGCTACACTCGTAGCTCCGAAGCTTCTTATCCTCGTCCTCCCCTGCTTCGTCCTCGCAGCTGGCACGTTCGGCGTTTCATCGGGGGAACACGACCTGCCTGCCCTTCCTCTTCCTCCGCCCTCCCCCGCCCCCGCACCTCCGCCACTTCCGCCGCCCCCCGCTACTCGGTTCCCGACCCGAAGAACTTCAAGCGCTCCACCCTGAACCATGGCGGGGGCGCCCCTCTGAGCGGCGCTCCAGTCCAGATGTCTGGGCCGCACATGATGCTCATGCAGGTGTGGCTGCTGTTGCTCCCCCCTCTTTCAGCTTGTCCTCCTGCTGCTGCTGCTGCTCCTCCTCCTCTGTACCCAATTTGGCTCAAGATCATGTGTTCCTCAGGAGAAGAAATGGGCACCGCTAGTCTGTGGCCAGTCC